GGGGGCGCAACCCTATGCGCAAGCGCAACGACGAGCTGGCTCGGCGCCGGAGGCGGGGCTACGCAGCCGTTAGGGGCGGGGTTGCGAGGCGCGGCTCCGTGCGCGTCCCGGAAGCGGAAGCTAGGGTCCGTTTCCGGGCGGCTGATTCGAGGACTTGTTTTGTCACAAGTGGAGACTGTGGAAAACTCCCTTAGGTGGGCCATGCCGTCCGAGGGTCGCTGCTGGGAGACTCTGCAGGCGCTGCGCAGTTCTGAGAAAGGTCGACTCTGCTACCACCGCGACTGGCTGCTGCGGGGCGAGGTGAGCGGGGGCCCCGGAGTGGGCGGTGTCCTTTCCGGCTCCTGGCCGCGGGACCCTGCAGTTCCCTACCCCTTGGCAAGTCCTGCACTGGGAACACGTGCGTTTTTCTGGCAACCCGCATTTGTTTCTGGACTCCCGTGTGTGCATCTTCGTGTCCTCGAGTGTCTGCCTTCTCCTGTGTATACTGTCTTTTCAGGGAACTTCTCTTATTCCAAAGGTGCTCTTCTCTCGAAAGGCTTCGTTGCCACCCCCAGACTTAGACCCCTCCGCTGTGCTGTGAAGGCAGCCCTCTCGGGGTCAGTTATGTACTGCACGTCTCTTGTGCTAGGAGATCCAGATCGAGCGGAGAACGACTGAAAAGACCAAAATTCTAGATGACATTGGGCAGACGGAAAGTTTAATGGGGGCGTGGCCCCTATACCTAGAATTTGCAAACCCAAACCCTAGACTGTAGGGCTGCGGACAAGGTTAAGGCATAGCTCCTGTACCCGAGTTGCTGATAATTAGTTACAGATAGGATATTACCTGCCTCTTTACATTTACATGTGGGACAATTCTGAAGCATTTCCCTGTCTTTTAATATCACTGGCAGTTTTAGGGAATACATAACTTGCATTCCGTCGGATGAATCCCACCGTGGGTCTGTCTGGTGTAGAGTCACGCTGTGCATTTTTGGCAGGAATACCGTAGAAATGATGCTTGTTCTCAGTCATATCAGGAAGCACACATATGATGCCATGCATCCTAAGGCTGGGAATCCTAACCTTGATCACCCGGTCACTTGGTTACCTGCCAGATAACTGCACTTAAAATGCCTCATTTTTTCCTTTTGTAACTGATTAGTATCTTTTGAGGAGATAATCCAAGATTACACTAGTATCCTTTTCCTAGTCAAACCTCCATCGTTGGCATTCGTTATTTCTGTCTGAATCAGTTAACCCTGTGAGGTAACCAAATGACGTTTCTTTGATACCCACCGTTCCTTCTACACTTGCTAGTTGGCATTCTACCATTAAGAGGAGCTTGCTTTTCTCACGTTTAATGATTTATTTGTATCATCATGTACTCTTGGGTTCCTGTTTTATTCCATGAGTTGTAATCCATTGCTTGTAAGCTTGTGTGTGTGTGTGTGTGTGTGTACACGCGTGTGTGTACACGCGCCCGTGTATTTTCATTGTGTGGGAAATGTGTCCTCAGGATAAACTCTGAGACTTGAGATTGCTGGGTCAAAAGGTAAAGGTAGGTGTCCCCCTCTCCCCATTACGGATGCATCAGATTGCCTTCCAGTCAACTAAAGGTCGTGTCTTTTTGCCTGCAGCCTTGTCAACAGAATTTATTATTATACCTTTAATTTCTGATTATCTAACGGGTAAGAATGAGATCTCAGGATCGTGTTCAAGTGCCTTTTGTAATTCAGATTGAACATTTTTTTCATATATTCAAGAGTCAATTTTAATCTTTTTTTTTTTTTTAAGATTTTATTTCTCAGAAGGAGAGAGAGAGCGTGCACGCGCACACACACAGACGGGGAACTGGCAGGCAGAGAGTGCAGCAGGCTCCCCTTGCTCAGAGGCCTGATGTGGACTCATGCCAGGACCATGGGATCATGGCCTGTGCCAAAGGCAGACGCTTAACTGACTGAGCTACCCAGGCGTCCCATTGGGAGCCAATTTTATGTCTTTTTTTGTGAATTGATTTATGTCTTCTCATTTTTCTAGTGGAGTTCTTCACCCCAGATTTTACAAGTTCTTTATATGTTAGGGATAATAGTAGCCCTTTATCTATGATACATATTGGACATACTTTTTTTCTAGTTTGTTAGTTGACATTTTTTATGTTTATGGTGGGTTTTTTATGTGTGGTTTTATTGTTTTTACACTTGAAACTTTGGCCCTGGAATATATTTTGGTGTAAGGAATGAGGAAAAGGGTGTTGTCTCAACATTATTTCTATTACGTCTTGGAAATGAGTCCCATTACTTTATAAAGTGTGCATATAGCCTGTTTGCTTCTGTGTCTGGATCATTTCCATGGATTGAATATCTTTTTATTGCACATGGGATGTGTGCCTGTGGTCTAGTCAGTATCTCTCAGCTGCAGCATTATTGACACTTTGGGCTGAGCCAAATAATTCTTTGGTGTGAGGGGCTGCCGCTGCTGTCTTACGTTGTGGGATGTGTAAGGGCATCCCTGGCCTCCACTGACTAGACGCCAATAACACACTCCCAGTGGTGACAACAAAAAATGTCTCCAGACAGATACTGGAGGGTGAAACTGATCCTGCTGGAGAACCGCTGATCTAGGGAAAATAATAACTTACAATTTTTGAGTAGTTATTATGGGCCAGGTAGTCTTTTAAGCCATTTATTATTCATTTAATCCTCTCCAAATCTCCTGAGGTGGATCCTTTATCGTTCGGTTTTAGAAGCGATGAAGCCTAGGCGCAGAGGGGTTAGGTAACTTGCTCATGGTCACACAGGTGAGTGAAATGCAGGGATGGAACTCAGGCTAAGAAAGGCTGGTTCCACACTCAGTGCTCGGAATCGCTGTTGTAGCCTTTTCCCATATTTCCTGGTCATATTTTCGTGACATTGAGTCAAGTTCTCAGCCAGAATTGCTGTGTATTTTAACTGCGGTGAAATAGTACAAGCTTCTCTGGTTTGAAGCGCTGTGTGGCAGTTCCACAGAGATAGTAGGTAACTCGTAGAGTTGAGTCAGTTGTCGCACACATATTACAGGGCGGCTAGAACTTGTTTTATAGGCTTTCTATTATAAATCCCATTTGTTTTAAGGCATTGGCCTTTAGGTCAGTATCCACTTGTCCATGCCTATTGTTTTAAAATATTTTATTTATTTATTTTTGCAAGATAGAGAAAGCCGTGTGGGAGGCAAGGAGCAGAGGGAGAAGCAGACTCCCCGCTGAGCAGGGAGCCCCATGCAGAACTCCATCCCAGGACCCTGGGATCATGACCTGAGCCAGAGGCAGATGCTTCACTGACTGAGCCATTTCAGGCAGAAAGAGAGAGAAAGAGAGAGAGAAGCAAGCAAACTACTTTCTCTTCATCTCTGATTGTTAATACAATTAGAATGGGTCTTTGGTATGTGTGTGTGTGTCTTTACTCAGGCCTTCATAGATTACCAGTAAGGCAGGTAGTGGGAAATAAGGACAAAATTATTTCCGATTGCTTGAATCAGTTGACATGCAAGCTGGGCTTCACCCTCTTCTCTGTAGGATGTCTTGGAAGAATGTATGTCTCTTCCCAAGCTGTCTTCCTACTCCGGCTGGGTGGTAGACCATGTCTTACCTCACGCACAAGAGAACCCACTTTCTTCTGAGACCTCAGCATCCTCTAGATCCGCCTCTGCCCTCGACCAACCTTCATGTGTTCCCGGATCACCTGTCAGAACCCCTGCCTGCTCACCGTCCTCCTCAGCAACTCCAGATGGACCCGAGGTAAGGTTTGTGTTCAGTGGGAGACCGCAGGCAGTGATGGCCAAAAAGTTGAAGTTTAAGGGGTCCCGCTTGGCTCGTGTGGTGGCGGAGTGTGCGACTCTTGTTCTCAGGGCTGTGAGTTTGAGCTCCACGTTGAGTGTGTTGATTATGGGATGTGGGTTGGGATTGCCCCATCCAAACCACCTCAGCACAAATGGACACTATCAGAAGAAAGGGGAAAAATTAAGCAAAAACAAACAAACAAACAAAAAAACTGTCCAAAGCAACAAGCCATTCATTGGTTTGTATATTGTTATATAAATATAATTTATATTATTATTTCCTTCACTGAGAAAAAGAAAAACAATTAGAACAAGATCAACATCATGAAAAGCAACTGGTTCGTTCCTTTTTTTTTTTTTTTTTTTAAGATTTTATTTATTTAAAATGAAACAAGATGGGATCGGGAGGGAGACAAACCATAAGAGACTCTTAATCTCAAAACAAACTGAGGGTTGCCGGGGGACGGGGAGGGAGGGGGGCGTGGGGTTATGGACATTGGGGAAGGTGTGTGCTATGGTGAGTGCTGTGAAGTATGTAAAACTGGCGATTCACAGACGTGTACCTCTGGGGCTAATAATGCATTATATGTTAATAACAAATTAAAAAATTAATTAAAAAAAGATTTTATTTATTTATTTGATAGCACGAGAGATCGAGGGAAGGAGGGAACACAAGCAGAGGGAGTGGGAAAGGGAGAAGCAGGCTTCCCCCCCGAGCAGGGAGCCTGATGTGGGCCTTGATCCCAGGACGCTGGGATCATGACCTGAGCTGAAGACAGATGCTTAATGACTGAGCCACCCAGGCTCCCCAAGCACACTGGTTCTAACCTAAATTGTTTTATTGTTCTTACTTATAAGTTGGGATGTGGTTTTCATCTAGAAGGGATAACACCAAGTTTACCATCTAGAATGCATAATTTTTCCGTTTTTTTTTTTTTTGTCTATATAGGGCAAACATGAGTCCCGGCATACAGAACCTATGGTACTTCAGTCCTCCCGGGGGATCCAGGTGGAAGGCTGCATCCGAATGTATGAGCTCGTACACAGGATGAGAGGGACAGTAAGTGACCCACGAGGTCCGGCAGGCTTGACCTGAGGGAGCCATATGTCAGCGCAGTTCTGCAGGCATCATGGATGTCTACCTCGTGCTAATTGTCCTGTCGCCAGTGCTGGTAGCTCCTGATTCATTTGGGAGATAGTGTAATGTAGCAGTCACAAGGGAGCTCTCTGAAGGGAGGTCTGGGTTCAAATCCTAGCTCTTCTAGGATTTACATATGACTTCAAGAAAATTACTTAGACTTTCCTGGCTTCCATTTACTTCTTCAGAATTTGAAGATGATCTTGGGCTATCAGATAAGGGTATACTGAGAAGATGGATCTTAACAGCCTCCTAAGGAAAGAATAACAGTACTTTAATAATTTATTTGACTTTATTATGTTTTCATACTTTGCCAATAAAAATTAGAAAGATTTTAATTCTCAAGTCTTTTGAGAAAACAACATTAAGGCAACAGAAATTGGAACACCTAATTCATAAATTTAACAACAAACCAATATAATTGCGTTACATAAAGTAACCCATTTATTATAGGCTAGCAGTGTTTCTTTTATATAATTTTATTTTTTATTTTTTAAGATTTTATTTATTTGACAGACAGAGATCCCAAGTAGGCAGAGAGGCAGGCAGAGAAGGGTGGGAAGCAGGCTCCCTGTTGAGCAGAGAGCCTGATGTGGGGCTCGATCCCAGGACCCTGGGATCATGACCTGCTGAAGGCAGAGGCTTTAACCCGCTGAGCCACCCAGGCACCTCTATTTTTATTTTTTTCAAAGATTTATTTATTTATTTGAGAGAGAAAGAGATCACAAGTAGGCAGAGAGGCAGGCAGAGAGAGAGAGAGGAGGAAGCAGGCTCCCTGCCAAGCAGAGAGCCTGATGCGGGACTCGATCCCAGGACCCTGAGATCATGACCTGAGCCGAAGGCAGAGGCTTAACCCACTGACCCACCCAGACGCCAGCTAGCAGTGTTTCAAATGCTGTAGGTCCAGGCCCCACTGGCTGCTGTGTTCATGCAGGAACCACAGTGCCAGCTCCCCACAGCTCGTCCTTTCATCTTGCTTTTGCCACAGAAGGAGCACGTGTACTTGGCGTGTGCTGGTTTATTTCAATCTTCTTCGCCATTTTCCTGAGGGAGGCCCCATAATTGCTCCTGTATTTACAGAGGACTCCAACCCTCTGGGTGCCTTTGCCATGTCACGACCAACTAGATCTGAGCCCAAAGAACTGACTTTATTATTATTATTATTATTATTTAAGATTTTATTTATTTATTTGACAGAGATCACAAGTAGGCAGAGAGGCAGGCAGAGAGAGAGAGATAGGGGGAAGCAGGCTCCCCGCTGAGCAGAGAGCCCGATGCGGGGCTTGATCCCAGGTCCCTGAGGTCATGACCTGAGCCGGAGGCAGAGGCTTTAACCCACTGAGCCACCCAGACACCCCTATTTTTTTTTTTTAAGATTTTATTTATTTATTTGACAGACAGAGATCACAAGTAGACAGAGAGGCAGGCAGAGAGAGAGAGAGGGAAGCAGGCTCCCTGCTGAGCAGAGAGCCCGATGCGGGACTCGATCCCAGGACCCTGAGATCATGACCTGAGCCGAAGGCAGCGGCTTAACCCACTGAGCCACCCAGGCGCCCCCCCCTATTTTTTTAATTTAGAAAAGCAATGCATGATTTTGTAAACATTCCACAGATGACATGAGTTTATAAAGTGCAAGTCTTCTAGCATCAGCCCTCTATGCATTCATTCATTCATTCACTGAATCAACCAATAGTTGTCAAGCTGTCCTGTGCTTGCTGAGCACTTAGATGCTATTGTCTAGAGAAAATACTGAGCAAAGCAGACACGAATCCAGGCCCTCATGGGGCATCACATTGGTAAGGAGAGATAGGAGTAAACGAGAGAAATAAGTACAAAGTAGGTGGTAGCAATGTGCACAGTGAGGAGTGGGTAGATCCTGGATAGGTGGGGCCCTTTCAGCTGAACACTTACGTCCTTCTTCTCTGGGAAAGTTTTTCCCCTTTGATTGTTTTGTATTCCTCTCCATTTCCTTGTTTCTTTCTGGGAACTTTTATTAGTCAGAGATGGGCTCTCCTAGATTAATTCCCTATTTCTCCTATTCTGTCTCTCATTTTCCTTTTGTCTTTCTCTGTTTTCCAGAAGATTTCTTTATTTTATCCCTCCATTGTGGTTTGAAAAGACATTTATATATATATTTTTTTTAATGATGAGATTTTCTTATTCTCCACTTGTTCTTTTTTCAGAGCACTTTATTCTCATATCATATTAGAGTCCTTTTTTCAGATTTAATTGTGTTCCTTAAAATAGCTGTTTTTTCTAGATTCGTTATTTTCCAGTAGTTCACCTTGATCTCCTAGAGTACAGAGTTTCCTCTAAGAGCTGAGAACCTTCCTTTGCCAGGGGTTGGACCAAGGCTCCAGGTGCATAGTCAGGAGCAAGATTATCATGCTTTCGGGCTTCCTGAGCGTCCGAATTCCTAGAGCACTGTTCCGGAACACCAGCCTCCATGCTAGACGGTCTAGTTATCTCCAGACAGGTTTTTCATTTTCTTACAGGGAAGAACTCTGCATGTTTTTGGGGTGGGGGTATGTGTGATCGTGTAATAAATCACCCCCAGACTTGCAGCTTGCCACCACCACTGGCATTTCATCACTGTCTTTCACATTTCTGGAGGTCAACCCGCTCCACTGGGTAGTCCTCACTTAGAGGCCATGCAGTTGCGGCGGCTGGGGCCAGAGTTCTTTGAGCGGCTTCCTCCGCCACCGGGGTAGCAGTTGAAGTGAGCTGTTGGCTGGAATGTCTGTCCTTTCCCCACGGCAGGGCTTCCTCATAGCATGGCGGTCAGGTTCTGAGAGCAAGCATCCTAAGAAACACCGGCCGAGTCGCGTGGCCTTTTATAACCTGGTCTTGGAAGTTGTGTGACATTCTTTCTCTTTCCCGTGCTCTCTTGCTCAGGGCAGTCTTGAAGCTCTGCTCAGGTTGAAGTGGAGGAGATGGGAGGGTGTCCGAGAATGTGCAGACTCTTTTCAAATTATTACACAGTACGCAACAGTAAAAACAAATCAAGCACAAAATGGGCCAACGTAGAGGTACTTTGCTGAGGAAACAGGCAAAGAAACACATGAGAAAGTTATTTAAAAAAAAAAAAAAAATCGTTACAGCACACGTGCCTGGCTGTTGGTTGTTCCGATCTCATGATCTCGGGGCGGGGGTAAGGGCTGACTATTTTGTCCACAAACACTCAGCTGTTTCTGCTTTCAGTCCCATGAACCGCACCTGATTTCAGTCCTGGCATTTCCCTGTCTGGAGCCTCTTCGAGGTTCTGCTAGATTGGCTCTCTCCCTGAGGGGCGTAGCCCGCTTGTGTGTGCGCGCGTGCAAGTGCATGGGTGCGTGTGTGTCCTCGCGTTTTCTCAGCCCTGCTCTGTTGGGCCACATTCCTCCACAGAAACTTTCTATCTTCCAGAAGCATGTTGAAAGTTTTTCCCTGCTGACGAGCCCATGTGCTCTCTGTTGTTGAGTCTTTTTTTCCTTCCCAATTCTCTGTTTACACCGAGGCTCAGAGGAGAGGTTATGTATGCTTGTGGTCACTTTGCATTCTTGCACTGGAAGCTTTAAGATAGGATAACATAGTGTCTCCACAATACATTTTGCTGTATCTTTATCCCAGTACGTAGAGCAGCTCATGCTATTTGAAGGCTGCCGGGTGTTCTTTGTCCCACCCACTGTCATAGGTTTAGTCAATCCCTGGTTAATTTAAAGATTTTTTTTTTAAGATTTTATTTATTTATTTGACAGGGACAGAGAGATCACAAGTAGTCAGAGAGGCAGGCAGAGAGAGAGGAGGAAGCAGGCCCCCTGCTGAGCAGAGAGCCCGATGCGGGGCCCAATCCCAGGACCCTGAGATCATGAGCTGAGCTGAAGGCAGAGGATTTAACCCACTGAGCCACCCAGGCGCCCCTCCCTGGTTAATTTAAATTGTTTTAAATTTATTGCCGTCATCCGCAGGGCCGCTGTAAGCGTCTTATACATATATCTTTGCACATGCTTGCAAATATTTCCTCAGGATAAATTCCTAAAATTAAACTAGTGTCAAAGGATTTATACACTTTAACTTTTGATAGTTAAAATGTCAAGGTCACCCTTAAAATCCATGTGAGAGTACTCTCACGAGTGGTGAGTGGGATACCTGATGCCCTTAGGAATAGAGTAAGGGGACTTTCCTACGTGGAGGTGGGGGAGGAGGTGGAGGCAGAGACAATAAGGTAAGGAAAGGAGTGAGGTAGGAATGGGCACAGCATGTTTATGGACTCCGATGAGGATTTCTGCCGGTCACTCTGGAACCCTCATCAGCTGGCCCAGGTTGGAGGCATAGGTGCGCAGGGCTGTTTGACCCTGTGTTGGTAGATACCTGTTCATTCTCGGCGGATACGGGAGTGACAGAAACCAAATGGGGCAAATTGGAGGAGCTTTCCAAAACAGCTGAGTGTAAACATCCACCCAGAGGGGAGACGCAACTCGAGTGTAGCTTCTGAGAAGTAAGCAGCTGGATCCGTGCTCTTGAGTGTCTCTGGAGCCAAGGACCGGCGGGAGGGTAGTCCCCGTGGGTGAGCGAGCAAGCGGCGGAGAGCGGGTGCTGATCCTTTGCAGGAGGGCCTGCGGCAGTGGCAAGAGGAGCAGGAGAGGAAGGTTCGAGCCCTCTCCGAGATGGCATGTGAGCAGCTGAAGCGCTTTGACGAGCGGAAGGAGCTACAGCATCATAAGGAGCTCCGGGACTTCCGGGAAGTGATGGAGAAGAGGTAAGCGGGGCCGTCCGCGTGCTCAGCAGTACCCCTTTCCCAGCACAAAACCCAAAGGGAGAGAGTTGGGCTGCTTCTGAGGTCTGAAATGTTCAAACAAAAGAGCCAGAGAAGCTTCTAACTTCGAACGATGACCAGTGCATCACGAAGAGAAGAAAGGCTTTCAGGAGAGGGGAGATAAGATGTTTTCGGGAAGCACGCCTGAGTGCCCCTCTTCCCTTTCTTGAGCAGCTCCAGAGAGGCCCTGGGCCACCAAGAGAAGCTGAAAGCTGAGCATCGTCACAGAGCGAAGGTCAGAGCTTGGGAGAATCCATCTGGGTGTTTCCGGGTCTGGCTCTAACCTGCCCAGAGTCGGGTTTTAGCCAACCTGCGTGGAGGACCTGGCCCAGATGGCGCCTCCACGGGGCTCACCTTGGGCCGTCCTCTTCCAATTCTGGGCCCAGTAAGGCTCGGGGGGATGTAGAAAGAGAAGGCCCAGGCGTGCCCCAGAGACAGGTAACCGGACCGCCCTTTCTGTAGATTCTCAACCTGAAGCTGCGGGAGGCCGAGCAGCAGCGGCTGAAGCAGGCGGAGCAGGAGCGGCTGCGCAAGGAAGAAGGCCAGGCCCGCCTGCGGAGCCTCTACGCCCTGCAGGAGGAGGTGCTGCACCTCAACCAGCAGCTGGACGCCTCCGAGGCCCAGCCGCACGGGGACCCGCTGAACCTCGACCCGGCTGCCCTCCGGACCCGAGGCAACCAGCTGTGCGGCCTTGTCTCGGGGATCATTCGGGCCACGTCTGAGGTGAGGCACGTGGAAGAGGGACCTAGAAGACAGAATTCTGGTTCGCATTTCATCTCGCTTCCCCGAGAAGGACTCTGTGTGGGGGCAGTTATCCCCATCCCAAATTGGACTCCCGTACATACCAGGTGTCCTGACTTCGGGTAAACAATTCATTGTTTATTCTGATCACAAAATAGCGGTGTTTGTTCTGTAACTTTTTTTTTTTTTTTAGCTGATGTTACTTTTTTCATTCTGTAACATTTTGTTGAACACCTGCAAAGCTGTGGTAAAAGTTAAAACCTCACAGGAATGTGCATTGCCTTTTTCAGTTAACATTGTATTTTGAACGTATAATTACGATAACCATTAACAATATTTTGATGTTTTTAATTAAAGCAGTGTTAAAAACTGCAAGTATTGCCGTGACATGTAGAAGTTGTCAGAATTGGACATTTCCCACGTTTAAGCATGCCAAATGATTCGAAAAAAAGTGCCTACTGTTGAACATTTTGGTTTTTGTATTTATACTATCATGCATAGCACTGTAGTGCTATCATTTTTTTTATTTTTAAACTTTTTTTTAAAGATTTTATTTATTTATTTGACAGAGATCACAAGTAGGCAGAGAGGCAGGGAGAGAGAGAGGCGGAAGCAGGCTCCTCGCTGAGCAGAGAGCCCGATGCTGGACTCAGTGTAGGACCCTGGGATCATGACCTGAGCTGAAGGCAGAGGCTTTAACCCACTGAGCCACCCAGGTGCCCCTGTAGTGATAACATTTTATATATGTCTTGTATTTCTTTGAGAAAAATTCCTAGAAACAGAATTACTTGATCGGTCAGAGATTTTTTTTTTTTTTAAGATTTTATTTATTTGTTAGAGAGAGAGCGTGGGAGCACAGGCAGACAGAGTGGCAGGCAGAGGCAGAGGGAGAAGCATGCTCCCCGCCGAGCAAGGAGCCAGATGTGGGACTCGATCCCAGGACCCCGGGATCACGACCCGAGCCGAAGGCAGCTGTTTAACCAGCTGAGCCACCCAGGTGTCCCTGGTCAGAGAATTTTAAGGTTCTTGATTCTTACCCAAAACTTGTACCAATTCATATATATATTTTTAAGATTCTGTTTATTTATTTGACAGACAGCAAGAGAGGAACACAAGCAGGGGGAGTGCGAGTGGGGGAACCAGGCTTCCCACTGAGCAGGTCTCGATCCCAGGACCCTGAACCACCCAGGCGCCCCACTTTTTTTTTTTTTTAAGTAGGCTCCATGCCCAGCGTGGCGCTTGAACTCATGACCCTGAGATCAAAAGTCATCTGCTCTGTTGACTCTACTGAGCCAGCCAGAGTCTCCCCCTGCAATTCACATTTTTATGAATTGTATGTTTTTTTTTTTTAATTCAAGATTTTATATATTTTGACCCAGAGAGATCACAAGTAGGCAGAGAGAGGGGAAGTCAAGCAGAGAGTCTGATATGGGGCTCGATCCCAGGGCCCTGAGATCATGACTTGAGCTGAAGGCAGAAGCTTAACCCACTGAGCGACCCAGGCACCCCATGAATTGTATGTTCTTGCCCTTAGTTCATATTTCTACCCAAGTTTTTGTTTTAAAAATCCAGCTGATTTTTTGTGTTCTACATATTAAGAACTTTATGCATTTATCATATTTGAGGCAGAAGTTTATTTTTATAGTTTATCATTCCCTTTGAATTAGCTTTATAGCTTTTGTTTACCTTTCCTTCTGTAAAATTTCAAGCCTACAAGTCTTTTTCTAGCCTTCAAGCTTAGAACCGCGGTATGAACCCTTATGCAACCATTCCCCAGCTTGAGCAAGACTCAACACATGGCAGTCTTGTTTCATCTCTCCTTCCAGCTGCATGCCCTCTCCCAAATAGCTTTACGATGATTCTCAGACCTAATTACTTTATCTGGGAAAATACTTTGTGTGTATCTCTAAAAGATAAAATTCTTTGCTCACATAACCAGAATCTAATATCACATCTGAAAAAACCGATAACTTTTATGACCAACTATCTAATCAGTGTTCAAATTTTTCCACTTGTGTAAAATTTTTTCCTAAGATCTTATTTATTTATTTGAAAGAGAGAGAGAAAGAGCGTGCACGTGCTCCAGCAGGGGGAGGCGCAGAGGGATAAGCAGCCTCCCCACTGAGCACGGAGCCCTTTGATCAGACCTGAGCTGAAGTCAGATGCTTAACCAACAGTCACCCAGGCACTCCTGTCTCAGATTTTTTTAATAGTTGGTTGGAACATTACCATCTACACAAGGTTCAGCCTTTTGGTTTTTGTCTCTTAATTAAGTCTTTTAATCTCAATACTCCATCTCCTTTATTTCTTTTTCCTTGCCATTTAATTATCAAAGAATCTGGATCATTGGTTCTATAAAATTTCCTACATTCTGGAAAACTCCAGAATGCAATTGCTAACCCTAACCCCGTGGTATATTGTATTAGGTTTCTTTATTGTCTATATTTTCTGTGAACTGGCAACTTGAGGACAGTGCCATCCGACAGAACTTTCTGTGGTGATGAAAATGTTCCATATTTATGTTCTGTGACATAGTAGCCATTAGCTATATGTAGCTGCTGAGGACTTAAAATATGGCTACTGTGCCTGAAGAACTGAATTTAAATTTTAAAAAATTTTAAATTAGGGGTACCTGGCAGGGAGTGCCTAGGTGCCTCGGTCATTAAGCATCTACCTTCAGCTCAGGTCATGATCCCAGAGTCCTGGGATCGAGCCCTGCATTGGGCTCCCCGCTCAGTGGGGAGCCTGCTTCTCCCACTCCCTCTCCCCACTGGCTTGTGTTCCTATTCTCGTTGTCTCTCTCTCTGTCAAATAAATAAATGCAATCTTAAAAAGGGGGGGATACTTGGCCGGCTCAGTCTATAGAGCACGTGACTCTTGCTCTCAGGGTCATGAGTGCAAGCCCTGTGTTGGGTGCAGAGATCACTTAAAAATAAAATATTTAAAAAAAAAGAAAGTGAATACAGGGGGCACCTGGCTGACTCGGTCATAAAAGCATGCTACTCTTGATCTGGGTAGGTGGGTGGCTCAGTTGGTTAAGCGTCTACCTTCGGCTCAGGTCATGATCTTAGAGGGCTGGGATCGAGCCCACATCAGGCTCCATGCTCACCCGGGGAGTCTGCTTTTCCCCTCTCCCTTTGCCCTTCCCCCTACTTGTGAGCCATCTCTCTCTCTCTCTCTCAAATAAATCTTTTTTTTTTTTTTTTAAGTTATCATTTCAGGGGCGCCTGGGTGGCTCAGTGGGTTAAAGCCTCTGCCTTCGGCTCAGGTCATGATCCCAGGGTCCTGGGATTGAGCCCTGCACAGGGCTCCCTACTCAGAGAGGAGCCTGCTTCTCCCTCTGCCCCTCCCTTCTTGTGCTTTCTCTCTCTTACACTCAATCTCAATAAAGATGTAAAAATCTTTATTAAAAAAAAAAAAAAAAAGAGGGATGGCTGGGTGGCCCAGTAGGTTGTCTGTCTTCAATTCAGGTCATGATCCCAGGGTCCTGGGATGGAGCCCTGCATCAGGCTCCCTGCTCGGCGGGAAGCCTGCTTTTCCCTCTCCTGTTCCCCCCTACTTATGCTCGCTCTCTCTCTCTCTGTCAAATAAAATAAAAAATAAAGATTAAATGTGTACCATTCTTTCATCTAACTCCATAATCTTTGTCAAAGAGACAGAAATAAATCATGTTCAGTGAAAAAATCTAGGTGAATGTTTGAATTATGTTAAGGTGTGGAGGCATAGCAATGAAAACAAGTCATAATGGGAAGGATCAATAGATAAGAGGACACAAAACTGAAAGACATATCATAACTTAGGAAACATTTGTAACATTTATAGCAGACCAAAATTTAATGTCCTTGTTCAGAGAGAGCTCTTAAGATCTATGGGAGAAAAGGTAAATAAATCACTCTCTGTCTACTTCCATTCCACTAACAGAAAGATGAGCAAAGGACAGGATAAGTAGCTGTAAAAGGAGAAATATAATTGGTGAATTTGAAACTGTTTTTTTTTTTGTTTTGTTTAAGATTTTATCTATTCATTTGACAGCACACAAGCAGGGGGAGCAACAAGCAGAGGGAGAGGGCTTCCTCCCTCCGCCAAGCAGAGAGCCAGATATGGGACTCCATCCCAGGACCCTCAGATCACAACCCGAGCCGAAGGCAGATGCTCAACTGACTAAGCCATCTAGGTGCCCCCTGAAATTAAGTGTAAAAATCACCATTAATATATGGAATGCAAATTAAAACACAGTATCGGGGTACCTGGGTGGATTAAGCCTTTGCCTTCGGCTTAGGTCATGATCTGGGTTAAGCCTCTGCCTTGGGCTCAGGTCTTGATCTCAGGGTCCTGGGATCGAGCCCCGCATCAGGCTCTCTGTTCAGCAGGGAGCCTGCTTCCCCTTCTCTCTGCCTGCCTCTCTGCCTACTTGTGATCTCTGTCAAATAAATAGAAATTTTTAAAAAAACAAAACAGTATCTTTTTAAAAAAAAAAAAGATTTGATTTATTTATTCGAGAGAGAGAATGAAAGAGAGAGAGCGTGAGACGGGGAAGGATCAGAGGGGGAAACAGACTGCCTGCTGAGCGGGGAGCCTGATGCGGGACTCGATCCTGGGACACCAGGATCATGACCTGAGCTGAAGGCAGTTGCTTAACCAACTGAGCCCCCCAGGGGTCCCAAAACACATTATCATTTTTATCTAGGCTACTGTCACGAACTTGTAGAAAGTTATCCCAGCCAATGTTGGTGAGAGCATGGAAGAATCTGTACTCGGGTGTGTCTGTGGTTGTGACGGTAAATTGGTTACCTTTAGGAGAACAGGAGACAGTAAGCATCAACATGTTGAACGCAGGCACTCCACTGGTGCAGCAGTTCCAACTTAGAAATTGTTGACTTGTGTGTGAGCTGTGGTTCGGCTTCACAGGTGCCTAGAGAAGGGACACTAAGCTCTCCCTCTGTCCCCCTGACAGAACGGCTTTCCCACAGCAGAGGACCAGGCTGTGGCAGAGAGAGCCCTGCAGGAAATGCGGGACCTCCTGACAAGCTTGCAGCAGGAGATCGCCAGGGCCTGTGAGAACAAGAGGAAGCAGGATGAGGAGGCAGCCCGAGAAAAGCGGCAGGAGTCAAAGATGCAGCAGGGCCCGGAGGTCCCCAGAGAGGCCCCAGCTCCCAGCCAGGGCCCAGGAGGGAAACAGAATGAAGGTGGGTGCTGCCATGGCTACCGTCCTTTCATCCAGAACGTGAAAGGAAACAAGCATGTGTTTCAATATGGTGTTAAGCTTCAGGACGATATACCAGAACTTTTATATAAGGTAAAATTTACTACTGAGTTTTTACTAAATTTACATGCAGTCTGGTTGATGTGTCACCAGACGCTTGCCATGGGGACTTGAAATTATGTATCATTCTGGTAGATGTATTATCCCAGGTTTTGCTGCTCTGAGATTTTTGGGTTTGGGTTTTTTTGGTTTTTGGGTTTTTTTTAAGATTTTATTTATTTGAGAGAGAGTATAAGCAGTGGGAGCTGCAGGCAGAGGCAAAGGCAGAGGGAGAAGCAGACTCCCCGCTGAGCAGGGGGCCTGATGCGCAACTTGATCCCAGGACCCTGGAATCATGACCTGAGCCGAAGGCAAACGCTTTACTGACTGAGCCACCCAGGCATCTCAACTGTTCTGAGTCTTTAAAATAATGTAACAATCACTTTTCGGCCTTCTAAGTGTAAAATAAATATGTACACAATAGATGCTCATTTAATACATAGGAGAGGATCAGTATAGCATAACAGTTGAAGGCTGGCTTTGGAGCCAGATCCATGGGAATGTAGTTTTTCTACTTCCTGGCGATGTGACCTTGGCAAATTAACCTTTCTACACCTGCTTCCTTATCGAGAAAACAAAGATAATAATGGTATCTACTTCGTAGGGTTATTATGACAATGAAAACAATTAATATCTCTATCAGCTGATGAGACAGTGTCTGGCTCATATTGAGTGTTTGCTGAAGGGGCGCTGGGCTGGCTCAGCAGAAGAGCGTGCGGCTCTTGATCTCCGGGTCATGGGCTTGAGCCCTACACCAGAGGTAGAGATTGCTTAAATAAATATATATATATATTTTTTAAAGTGTTTAGTGGGAGCACCTGGGTGGCTCAGTCATTAAGTATCTGCCTTCAGCGCCGGTCGTGATCCCAGGGTCCTGGGATCGAACCCAGTATCGGGCTCCCTACCTCCATGGGAAGCCTGCTTCTCCCCTCCAACTCCCCCTGCTCGTGTTCCCTGTCTCGAGTGTCTCTCTGTGTCAAATAAATAAATGAAATCTTTATTAAACAAATAAATAAACAAACAAACAGTATTCAGTGAATGCTAGCTGTTACAGAAGCCTCTCTTTTCTCAGACCTCCAGGTAAAGGTACAGGACAGTACAATGCAGTGGTACCAGCAGCTGCAGGATGCTTCTAGTCAGTGCGTGTTGGCCTTTGAGGAACTGACCAACAGCAAAGACAGTCAGGTAGGGAGGGCTGTAGATCGGGAACCCTCGGGGCCTGGTAGTTCTGTAAACAGCCTCGTGTCCCAAAGGAATGTCGCTAACGTGTCACATTCCATAATCCTCCTGGCATCTAATCAGCCCTTCCAAACACTGCCTGCCTCTCCCCATTCTCTCCCGGCAGGTCAAAAAGATAAAGATGGACCTCCAGAAGGCTGCCACCATCCCAGTGAGCCAAATCTCCGCCATTGCAGGTTGGTCGGAGGAGTTGAGAACGTGGCCCTGCGCTTCACTTTTTTCTGTTTTTTAAGACTCCAGATCTCCTCCTCTGTAAGGCTCCTGTGGGCAAAGTCTGTTCAGACAGGTGACATTGGATCGGGCATGTATGAGTTAGGTCTTACTCTCCTTTGTTTCTTTTTCAGCATGTAGAAGGTACTTGTTACACGTTGGTTGACTAGCTTTTTTTTTTTTTAAGATTTTATTTATCTACTTGACAGAGACCACAAGTAGGCAGACAGGCAGGCAGAGAGCGAGAGAGAGAGGAGGAAGCAGGCTCTCCGCTGAGCAGAGAGCCCGATGCGGGGCTTGATCCCAGGACCCTGGGATCATGACCTGAGCCGAAGGCAGAGGCTTTAACCCACTGAGCCACCCAGGCGCCCCGGTCGACTAGCTTTTTATAAATAAGCTGCACTGTTAACAGTAAATTCTTTAGGAAGGCTCTTACGTGATAGTGAAAATCCCTGCTGAAGATATCGCTCCAGGAACCTAGGATATGACTCGCCTTCTTTGCTTTTGTCCTGTAATATTAGCTTGTCCAAGCTCGAAACCTGCCTTCATACTTTAGAAAGTCTTCCTATTCTCTCCGGAGACTGAGCTTTAGAGAGTGAGAACTAGACAGGGGAAAGACCCTTCTTTCTTTCGTTCAGAAACAGTGGTTCGTTTCTCTCGAGCTCTAGATGCGGAAGCCTGCAGCTTACAAGCCGTGTGGCCCAGTGGCTGGCAAGCATGAACAGTGGAAAAGCTGCTCTGACTTAGCCTGGGTCCCAGTTCCCCTGACTCACTCGTTGCCTAGAATGTGTCGACAAGTTGCAGTTCTTGCCCATGGGAGGGGCTACGACAGAACTTACAGGAGGGGCTCCTATGACAGAACTTACGTATCACTCTGCTGCCTGAAAGTTCTCTCCAGATCAGGGCAAGGTACAAATAAATAAACATGAATCACTTTCAAGACTTTAAAATGCCATTTCCTTTGCTCACAGCATCAATGAGGGCAAGATTGACGTGACAGCCAGGCCACCCACTGACTCCCCTCCTCAGGCTCCCCAGTCCTGTTTCATTCTTCACTTCTGAGCAGGTCCGAGTTTTGCTGGTCTGCATTTACTGCACATTTCCTACGTTCCCTTCATCTGCACCATCATGGTTAAGTCCTTGAAGAGCCAGAGGCAGACATGCTCTGGAGTGAGGGCCCAGTACGTGCTGAGGACGGAGAAGGAGATGGTCTGATTCCTGCCTCTCGAAAGGCAGACATCCATGAGTGGTTAGATTTGGAGCCGAATTTAAATGTCTCCAGTGCTGGTGTGGCATATGGGACGTGGGAGGCCGTGCCATGCAGAGGGTTGGGAGCTGACTTTCCTAACTGGAGCAGCACAGAGAAGGGGGCTGATGGGAAATTTTGGTCCTTTGAAACCATCAGGAAAGTAGTACAGAAGTGTGACTTAGCAGGAGTGGGAGCTGCTATTTTGGTATCTCAGTAAGGTTTGAGTAATGAAGACCAATTTAGATCTGCTTAGGCCCCAAAAAAGGCATTTATTCTAAAGCTACAGGGATGTTTCTCAGAACCTGCTGGCAGGAATGGGGCTAGGTCTCAGCAGCTAGAAACCTTAGGAACCTTTTTTCTCATCTTCCCTCTGCACATCTCTGATCTTATGAGGTAGACCACTGTTCTTCAGACCACTTGGCAGGTGCAGGGGTCTGGCGTTCGTGAGCATGTGTGTAGCCGGGCCAGCCACTTCCAGGAGGTGACTCAGTCACTAGCTGATGGGTTCAGCTGGTCACTCCTCGTCAAACCGTAGCCAGTGTGGGGCTGGGGCGCACAGCCACCACGAGCCCACCTCAGTGTGTCTGAGGATGGAGGGAGGCCGGTCCCGGGGAAGGGGGAGTCATTGAGAGCTGGGAAGGTCCTTTAGAAAGGTTTTCCCAGGGCGCCTGGGTGGCTCGGTGGGTTAAGCCGCTGCCTTCAGCTCAGGTCATGATCTCAGGGTCCTGGGATCGAGTCCCGCATCGGGCTCTCTGCTCAGCAGGGAGCCTGCTTCCCTCTCTCTCTCTCTGCCTGCCTCTCTGTCTACTTGTGATCTCTGTCTGTCAAATAAATAAATAAAATCTTAAAAAAAAAAAAAAAAAAAAGAAAGGTTTTCCCAGAGACCAAATGACTCCTCTAGGGATGTCGGCCACAGCCCATGGGATCTGTAGCCATTGCACACCTGTTTCCACACCATTTCCCGCTCTGTTCGGTGTGTCAGTTTCAGAAGGCGTTCATTCCCGAACGAGGAGCTCCTTTGAAATGGTACCACGTTTCATGCACTTGTACATCGCAGGCAGCACATATTTTATTTGCGTGTCATATATTTTTCTGCAAAAGTATTTTTGCTTCAGGTTCTGACCTTGTGGGGGGCTGCACGGCTGGATTTTCATGGAGGCCTTCTTAACGCAATGATGAGAAGCAGAGTGGTCTGCAGTAGAGTTTTTTAACCAACTTTGTCATACCCAGGCTCAAAGCTGAAGGAGATCTTCGACAAGATCCACAGCCTGCTCTCTGGAAAACCCGTTCAGTGTGGCGGGCGCTCTGTGTCCGTCACCCTGAACCCACAGGGCCTGGACTTCGTGCAGTACAAGCTGGCGGAGAAATTCGTGGTGAGAAACCTTGTTGCCAGAAGTCTGGGGAGAAGCTGGTGCGCAGCCTTTAAGCTTCTCTCCCTAGTAACTAAAGCGGTCCTATCTCTGCTCCCACAGAAACAAGGAGAGGAAGAGGTGGCCTCTCACCACGAGGCAGCATTCCCCATCGCGGTCGTGGCGTCCGGAATCTGGGAGCTCCACCCCAGAGTGGGCGACCTCATTCTCGCTCACCTCCACAGGAAGTGCCCCTACTCTGTTCCCTTCTACCCGGCTTTCAAGGAGGGAATGGCGTTGGAAGACTATCAGAGGTGAGGTGGTTTTTCTCCTCACTCTCCTCAGGGTGAATGAAATGCAAATAAAACTGGGGTTTGAAAGTACCTGGGTGGCACAGTTGATTAAGCATCTGACTCTTGGTTTCAGCTCTGGTCACGAGCTCAGGGTCGTGGGAGGCGGGGCACCAAGTCTGCTTGAGATTCTCTCTCATCCTCTGCCCTTCCCCTTGCTCATTTGTGCACTCTGTTTCTCTCTCTCTAAAATATAAATGAGGAGCGCCCGGGTGGCTCAGTGGGTTAAGCCTCTGCCTTCAGCTCAGGTCATGATCTCAGGGTCCTGGGATCGAGCCCCCGTATCGGGGTCTCTGCTCGGCGGGGAGCCTGCTTTCCCCTTTCTCTGCCTGCTTGTGATCTCTCTTTCTGTCAAATAAATAAGTAATTTAAAAAAATATCCTAAGAGAAATCCTAAGAGAAAATCCTAAGAGAAAAAAAATGATCCTAAGAGAAAATAATAAAATAATCCTAAAATAAAATAATAAATAATAAAATAATCCTAAGAGAAAAAAAATGAACTGGGGTTTATTCTCCTTCATTTCACAGCTCCTTATACATACCTGGAATGTTCTTTCAGAGAATCCAGTGTCTTTCATACCGACTGGCTGCTTTGGGATTTTGTGGATTCAGGTGCAATAATTAGTATAAAGAACACTGAGTCCAGGATCCAGGGGCTTTAGAATTGTGCCCTGCTTCATCATTTAATGGTTTGCAAAATGTACAATCACTTAAGCTCTGTGAGCATCATTTTCCTTATTTGCAAACGAGTAATATCCATCAGTCCTGTGACTTTGGGGCACCTGGCTGGCTCCGTTGGTAGAGCGTGTGACTCCGGATCTTGGGGTTGTGAGCCCAAGCCCCATGTCGGTGCAGAGATTGCTTAAAAATTGTTTTAAAAAAATCCTGTGAGTTTGCCTTGTGGGACTTATGTAATACATAGATATGATTGCCCATATGCATGCTTTGTAAACAAAGTATTCTGCAGAGATAATGATATGTAGTAAAAATAATGATACGTAGTAAGAATAATGCTAAAAAGGGGCTCCTGGCTGGCTCAGTCTGTAGAGCATATAACTCTTGATCTTGGGCTTGTGAGTCTGAGCCCTCTGTTGGGCCTAGAGCTTACTTTAAAAAAAGAAAAAATAGAGGCGTGTGGTTGGCTCAGTTGTAGATTATGTAGCTATTCAATCAAGAGATGGAGAACTCATCTGGGCACGAAGCCTACTTTAAAAGACTAATATTGGGCGGCACCTGGGTGGCTCAGTGGGTTAAAGCCTCTGCCTTCAGCGCAGGTCATGATTCCAGGGTCCTGGGATCAAGCCCCAAATCGGGCTCTCTGCTCGGCAGGAAGCCTGCTTCCTCCTCTCTCTCTCTGCCTGCCTCTCTGCCTGCTTGTGATCTCTCTCTCAAATAAATAAATAAAACCTTAAAAAGAAAAAAAAGACTAATATTGGGGCCCCTGGGTGGCTCAGTCAATTAAGCATCTTCCTTCCACTTGGGTCATGATCCTGGGGTCCTGGGATTGGGCCCCGTGTTGGGCTCTCTGCTCAGCTGGGAGTCTAATGTCTCCCTCCCGCTGCCTCTCCCCTTGCTTGTGCTCTCTTGCTCTATCTCTCAAATAAATGAAATGTTTAAAAAGAATAAAATAAAAAAATAAAAGACTACTACTGCTAATAATAATAATGCTAAATGGTACAGTACTAGATTGTTCCTTTTAGCCCTAAAAAGCCAGTGATTTGTCACCCTCGCCTTGGCCTTATCACGTTGAATCTTTTCTTCCCACGCAGGATGCTCGGCTACCAAGTGAAGGACTCCAAAGTGGAACAGCAGGACAATTTTCTGAAGCGCATGTCTGGGATGATCCGACTCTACGCCGCTATCATCCAGCTCCGGTGGCCGTACGGGAGCCGGCAGGAGGTAGTGGAGACGGCCTGCTCTCCCAGTGAGACGTCAGACCTTATTTGTGTATCTTGTCCCCCGGGCCTGTTGCCCTTCTTGCTGCGGGGGCGGCCTCATTACATGAGAACTTCGTGTGTATCGCGGCCCCCTTGGTGTGCTTTAGAGAAGTTGATGTTGAGGGTTAGGAAACTTGGACCAGCAAAGCTATTTGTTCAAAAACTGACTTAGTTGAGCCTTTAAGGAACTGGGTTTGTAAGAGCGTCCGTCTGTGGTAAGCCAGTCATTAAGTTTAGAAGATTCTATGAGAAGAGGAGTGCTCTAAATGATGCAGTATCAGGTGTTGTTGTTGTTGTTATTTAAGTAAGTTCTACGCCCAGCATGGGGCTTGATCTCATGACCCTGAGATCCAGAGTCACGTACTCTATCGACTGAGCCGGCCAGGTGCCCCAGTTCAGTGTCATTTTAGACCTGGTTGGTGCCTCATGTCACAGATGAGCAGATGGGGTCTCAGCGAACTTTAGGGACACACGCTGCCAGTGACAAAGCCACAGCTGGAGTGCAAGGCTTTGACCTGCTAGCCCAGTGCTTTACTCCAAGGATACAGATTAGAGACATGGAGAAGTGAAGTACTTGGGGACCTAAAGAGAAGGGATCATAAGTGGATCGAATCCAAGTTTTTACCGTGTACCTGCTGAGTCCCCTTCTATGCTAAAGGTACCGAGAATAATAAGTAAAATGTCTGTACATAACTGTTGGGATCCCTGAAACCAGAGCTGCCACATGGGGATTAGGGGTTCCTGTAACGAATGGGTGGGTTCCACGGTGTCGGCACATTTGAAAACAGAATTTGTTCATCTTGTGTTGTTTCTGCCCTGTGGCATGTGCTTGATTTCGATGATCTGGGGGTCCATGTCACTTAGTAATGTCTGGAAGATAACCTTGGGGGTTTAGATCCCTGGATACAATGAGATCAAATCATGACCAAGTGTCTTCCCTCCCAGATTCATCCTCATGGTTTAAATCATGGCTGGCGCTGGTTGGCACAAATCTTAAATATGGAACCCCTGTCAGATGTGACAGCCACCCTCCTCTTCGACTTCTTGGAGGTACGTAATGCAGTTACCACACGAGAGAGACAGTGTTGAAGCAGCCTTTGGTCACTACGAGACCTGCATTGGTAAACAGTCCGAAACAAGCTGATGGTCAGCAGCATTAGGACCCAGTGTCACTGTCACACATTTTCCCCAAGTGCTAAAGACAAACCTAGCTTTCGGGTTTTCTTCCCCTTGTGCTTCCTTTTTTTTTTTTTTTTAAGATTTTATTTATTTATTTGATAGAGATCACAAGTAGTCAGGCAGGCAGAGAGAGAGGAAGGAAAGCAGGGTCCCTGCCTAGCAGAGAGCCCGGTGCGGGGCTCGATCCCAGGACCCCAGGATCATGACCTGAGCTGAAGGCAGACGCTTTAACCCACTGAGCCACCCAGACGCCCTTCCCCTTGTGCTTTCTTTCTCTGTGTGCTTGTCTTCTTATTATAAAGAAGAAAATATCTGTACATCCCAGCATAAGCAAAAAGGGACATTTGTTTCTGGGATAGAGAGTTGACTCCCAGAACCAAGGGTAGAATGTACAGTCAACTGTCATGTGGGCCTGGAACCAGGAACTAGAATGTTACCAGGTACCAAGAGTCTCCCTGGGGCTAGTGTCCTTCCTGTGCTCTCCCTGCAGGCTGCCTCAGTCTTGCTGCACAAGCCAGCTTTCTCTAGTTCTCTGTGCACGGTGGAGACGATGGCCATCCTGGGCTATAGTCCTCTGCTTCAGTGTGGCCACCCAGTGTAGTGCAACTGTCATCCCCTGTTTGTGATCTCTCATTCCTGGGAAAACAAGTCTGATTAGCTAGGTTGGGTCAGGAATCTCCCTCATCCAGAAGGTTCTTTACAGTCCTGTCTGCCCATGAGGGGCCACGACTGTAGGATGAGGGTAAGGGTTTCTGTGGAAAGGAGACATTTCTTAAAGGTTAAAGACTTGGAGCACTTTCCGTAGCAGATCTGGGCTGTCGAGCCAAGAATGCCAAATGTTTCCATTCACCTTAGAGTTCCTGAAGTCACACGACATGAGCAGAGATCATGAGTAAATTTGAGAACATGGTAATGTTCTGTATGTTCTGCTTACTACTGCTGGGAGGAGTGCCATGCCTTCAGAAAGCTTTCCATTCAGTAGACTCAAAGAATAAGTAAGTTGGATTCACATTTTCCAGTTTGCTAAAATACCTGGCTTCTTGGCTGTCTGGTGTAACGGAGGTGTTATCGTATACAGAGAAATGCTTCAGAACAAGGTTAAATCTTTCCATTTATTCCCTTGCAGAGCTAGCTAAGTGGCACTGAAATTCTTGGTAGGAGTAAAAGGCAAAGGGTTGGTGTGCTGTATGGGATTCTCGCGTGAGCGTGAGTTTGCATTCTCTGCTCTGACGGCACCTGTCTTTCCCTGTAGGTGTGTGGGAATGCCCTCATGAAGCAGTACCAGGTACAGTTCTGGAAGATGATACTTCTCATCAAAGAAGACTACTTCCCCAGGTATGTGGTGCATTGAGTAGACAGCGTGGGATTCAGTGGGTAAAACACGTGGTGTCAGAGGCCCCTGCGCACTGTGACATGCTGGGTTTGACTCTGGAAAACACCTGTAGTTCGTGTGACATCGTCTCTTCTCCTTCTCCTCTTTGATATTTGAATAAATGCTTTCGAACTGTAATGAGAGTCTTTAAAATTTTTTTTTCTTTGAGATTTTATTTATTTGACACAGAGAGACAGTGAGAGAGGGAACACAAGCAGGGGGAGTGGGAGAGGGAGAAGCAGGCTTCCCGCTGAGCAGGGAGGCCCATGTGGGGCTTGATCCCAGGAGCCTGGGACCATGACCGGAGCTGAAGGCAGATGCTCAACAACTAAGCCACCCAGGTGCCCGAGTCTTTTAAATATGGTTGGCTAAATGAAAAGATGAATTAAGATCCGGGATTCAGATACCTGGTGTTTCTTTTACTCTGGTTTTTTCCGAACTTCCCAGCTAATCTGGGACGGTGATTACATGCAGGCATGAATTAACCCAGAGAATCCAACTTCCTTAATAAATCAGTTTCTGCAGCTGTTTGCTTGACGCCGTCATGGCATTCACCTTTAGGTGCCCTTCTCATTCCTCTCAGCACCCTGGCATTTCAGCTGTGGAGAGGCCTTGGCAGTACCCATCCCGCCTGATTGCAAAGACCTTGGAATGTCCTCTCTTCTCCTTTATCCCTTGGTTTGAAAAGAAGCCTGAGACCCTTTGGGAGAATGACAGCATCCTTAGTCCAGAAGCCGTCTCTCCGAGTCATTCGATCTACCCCTCCCTCTAGATCAGCAGTGTCCCAAACTCCTCTCCCAGAAGGGAGTGGGAATCACAGCTGTGATCCGTGTATCTTCTTCCTCTCACTGTAGGATTGAAGCCATCACAAGCTCAGGACAGATGGGTTCCTTCATACGCCTCAAGCAGTTCTTAGAGGTAAGATGGCCTTAGACCAACACATTCCGAGCTTCTGTTGCCCTCTCATGGACCTCTAGGCTCTCGGATTGCAGTCTTCCTCTTGATTATTTTATTTTATTTTATTTTAGTCATCTCTACACCGTACATGGGGCTCAGACTCAGCCCCGAGATCAGGAGTCACCTGCTCTTGTGACTGAACTAGCTAGTCGCCCCCTCCTTGGTGTTTTTGAACTCTGCTTTTTGGTCCGTGATTCCCCCTTCACCTTAAGGGGCGGCATTTCATCATCTTCTCATGTGCCGCTGTCCATGCTGCCTGAGGGGAAGCTGCCTTAGGGATGAATCAAATTTTCCAAGTGAGTCTGGCATCACTAATACATTTCTTGCCTGCTGCCTAAGGCTCCTTCCTCAGTCTCCGTTCGGGGGAACTGGGAAATTTGCTCCCTCTTCTCCGTGAGAACAAGCCACACTTTTGGCCGGTCTCCTTCCGTTTCCTCCCGTTTGCTGGAAACCAGAGGCTCAGTGTGACCAACAGACTGGAAGCCTGTGGTAGGTCTGCCGGGACGGCCCCCTGACTTTCACTTTCCCGTAGCCTGAGTGGGCAGAAGGCAGGTGAGAAGGATGAGGCAGGGCTGCGGGGGACGGGGCGGCGCAGCGGAACTGGCAGCCTGGCCTTGGTCCCCTGCTGCGGTTCACACGGAGGCAGAAGGCTCCTGCCTGGCGTTGGTCTCACTCCTTCCACTGCTGACCACTGTTCGGACGACTTAAGCTTGCTCTCCCTCAAAGCTTCTTCCAAATGCTCGATGTCGGGAGTAGCGTACCCAGAAAATCACTGTTTTCTCCATCTTTCCCCGACCAGAAATGTTTGCAGCGCAAGGAGATTCCTGTCCCCAAGGGCTTTCTGACTTCCTCCTTCTGGCGTTCCTGACGGCCCTCTGTCGCCTGCTCACCATCACCGTTTTGTTTGAGAGGGACAATAATAAAGCAACTGAAAACAGCTGTATTTGGGAGAAGTCATGTCAGATTTAGAAATCCACCGATATATTTGTACCTGGTGCTTCGGAGAGGAGACTTTTCAGGGTTCCCTAAATCTCGGGGGTCTCTTCAAAGGCTGAAGGCTCTTTAAGGGGTCCCCATGGTAGAGTAAATGGCATTCGCATTTCTCGTTTCTGAAGTGTGGGGAGGAGCAGTTTAGTACTTGGTCTCATCGTTCATCCCCTTTGTGTCTGGTGTCTTTCAGGAAGGACGTAGTCCCTTCACCATTTCCCTCTGAGCAGAAATGAGCCCGCCCCTTCCACTGCACCCTCCCCTGCCCCCAAGTCCTGCTGTTCCCGCTCAGAGTATGGTTAATGGTCGAGGCCCACATTCTCGCAGGCAGCTCCTGGTGTGGTGGTTGTGCCTTTCTCAGCTTATGAAGTCGTTATAAATTCAGAGGAAATGCCTGTAGACGAAGATTAAGTCCCAAATTGTATCAAATAGTTAGCATCTGGGACTAAGACCATTGATACATGTTATGTTGAAAAGAACACACTGTTGGTCCTTTTAATTTGGAGTTTGGGCCCTGGATGGCTAGGGATGCATGAATCAAGGACAGTGTCGGGGGGTTGGCGGTGGTGGTGGTGTTTGTTTTTGAATTTGGATGAAGACAGGCCGAGATGGGCTTGCAACATTACACCTGAGCGCAGCATCTACGAGCAATGACTCGGGGGTTAAATAAAATAAAGGTGTTTGAGAGAACTTGGGAACTGCTTTAGAATTGTTGACATGTCCTGTGTAAAGAGCAATAATAGATTCGCCTGACTAAAGCCACTACAGAAATTCAGAGCTTGGCTGTTCAGAAAAGAATTGAGGTTTGTTTCAGGAGAGACTCACCGTCTTTTGTACAACACTCAGCAGCTGTGGACCTACTCTGTACTACATGTCGTCTGCGGGGAGGTGTTCTGGGGGGCAGGGGGATCCCCTGGTACTCTTGAGTGGCTTGAAGTGACACATTCTGTGAATCATTGGCTCTGGTGCCAAAAAAAACAAGGAATAAAGCTTGATTTTTAAAAACCCATTGCCAGTATCTAGTTGGTTGATATGACTGCTTTCCTATAGCGTGACCTGTGTATATCACTGGCCTAGCTCTAGTGTTTCTCTGTATTTTGTCTTCTTGACCTTCACCTTGGGAAATTGTTGTTTTTCGGTCATTTCTTTTCTGGAATTACGTACCAGTAACTGACCTTGTTTTATCTAGCAGGAATGGAAAAGTACCAAAGTCTTTTCATGTGGATGCAACAGCATAACTCTGGGGAAGGTGTCAGGAGACTTGGTGCAATTCACTTCTAGGTTTTGTGGCCTTGGGTGGGTCATTCACCTCCTCTGAGCCTCAGTTTCCCCTCCCCCTGCCAAAACACAAGATTTGGGTTAGCTGGGAGCATAGTAGTTTTCAGGGCTCTGTAGCAGTGTCAGAGGGCAGAGCCTCCCAGCGGGGGTGTCAGGGCACAGACCCTGTTAAGCCTGCAGAACCTGCAGTGCCTTCGCCGCCACCCCCCCCCACCAAGGCCAGTTGCCGTTTGCACTTCCTCCCCTCCCTGTGCTTTACAGATGCCATCGTTTTCTGTGTATTGTGACCAGAAACAGGTTGGGAAGCCCTGACTTCAGGATGTTGAGTGGATGGGGCCCAGCCCTACAGTCAGGGTCGACAAATGGAGGCTCTGTGCACATTTTTAAAAGGCATCCCTTCCTTCAGAATACCACTGCCATCTGCTGGAATGGAACCGTGGAAATCTGCGATCACCTGAGGTGCACGGGGCCTGCTAGAGGTAGAAGCTTACATTCTGCCCAGCTGTACATGGGGCGCTAAGGGAACCCTGGGATCTTCTCTGCCACAGGGATTTTGCTCTCTATGCTGTGCATATAGATTGTGGTTCTATCTAAGATTATATTTGGGAATGTTTCTCCAAAAATGAAATGTGAAAAAATCACTGGGCAAAATGATCTCTGAGGTCTATTCCCCTTTGAATCTATCTGTACCACTCCATAGGAAACACCTCTCCTGATGTTTGAATGGTCTTTCTCTAGTCGTGTTTAACAGTCTTGCACACGTCACTTGATGCTTAGAATTCCTAATAGGTTCTCGATGGTAAACCAAGAAAGGAGAGCATTGGGGAAGCCAAGTTTTTGATACTCACTGATAGTGTCACCTTGAAAGGGAACGATTGCTGGCCGACAGATTCACCCTGATGGTTAGCAGAATCAGATTGCTTAAAGTGGAATACTGAGGCTGGCATCCAGTTTTTAAATTCAAGCACTCACTTGCCTGCTTGTTTCCTTTCAAGCTTGACCTCATTTCTCAGGCTGAGTACCCATATTTTTGTCCTGTCATTGTCCTCCATCATTTTAAAGCAAATCTGATGATGATTTGAAAATTCCAACAGGAGAGAAACCAAGCACATCCCTTGGATAGAAGAATGGTTCTGGAGAGTTCCTTCCCCTACTCTTCAAGCTTCCTGTGATGAAAGCAGTGACCTAACTAGGTTTGTCTGTCATCTGTCTCAGTGCCAGGACAGGCAGGGGAGCCACAGTGCCTCACACAGATCCCTTAATCAGGCCTGGCCTCTCACTTCCCCTTTCTCTGTCCCACCAAATGAGTTCCTGACACTAGATTTCCTGTGGACTGCAGAAAGCAGGTGAGAGCAGTGGTAAATTTACAATAACACGTATGATAAAGAAATTTAGGGGTGCCTGACTGGCTCAGTCAGTAAGGTATGTCATTTGATCTCAGGGTCATGAGTTCAAGCCTCACATTCAGTGTGGAGCCTACTTAGGAAAGAAAAACTTATTCTCTAGCTTATAGCTGGGCTTCATTTAAAAGAAAAAAATACAAATTTAAACAGATGATGCATTCAGGAAACATTTTTCTTTTAGCTTCTTCAGAATGTTTACACTAAACGTAGTACATGACTGAATTGGAACCTATACCAGAAAAAAAATCTTTTTGTATGTTTGTCTTATAAAGAACATTGGGACAATTGATAAAATTTGAATAATATCTATAAGTTAGATAATAGTATTTTTAAAAAAGATTTTATTTATTTACAAATAAATATAGATCACAAGTAGGCAGAGAGGCAGGCAGAGAGAGACAGAAGGAAACAGGCTTCCCATTGAGCAGAGAGCCCGATGCAGGACTCGATTCCAGGACCCTGAGATCATGACCTGAGCCAAAGACAGAGACTTTAACCTACTGAGCCACCCAAGCGCCCCTTTTTTGCTTTTGTGGTTTTTTTTTTTTTTTTTGGAGAGAGGGTAAGGGAGAAGGCACAGAGGAAGAGAGAATCCCAAGCAGGCTCTGCTCTCACAGACCCTGAGATCGCCACCTGAAGGGAAATCGAGAGTTGGTTGCTTAACCGCTTAACCGCCTGAGCCACCAGGTGCCCCAGCATTTTTTTTTAAGGAGGAGATGTTTATTTATTTAATTTTTCAAAGTAATCTCTGCACCCAACATGGGGCTCAAACTCATGACCCTGATGCCTGCTCCGCCGACTGAGCCAGCCAGGCACCCCTGCTTTGTTACTAACTGTGGTAAAATATACGTCACTCTAAAGGTACCATTTCAGCCATTTGTAAGTGTATGGCCCTGTGGCATTAACTGCATGCCCACTGTACAGCCATCACCGTCCGTGTCCAGAACAGTTTCCTCTTGCACAACTGAAACCCTGTCCCCGTTAAACACTCACTGCCCATCCTCCTCTCGGCCCAGCCCCTGGCAAGCTCTGCTCTACTTTCTGTCTCTGTAAACTTGACTCTTCTGGGGATCTCACGGTGCAGTCTTTGTACTTTTGTGTCTGGCGTACTTCACCTAGCATCATAGCCTCGGGGGGCATCCAGTCGCTGTGTTCCTTGCCAGCTGTGACACTGCAAAATGTCATCTGGGAAGAAGTACAGCCCACTTGCCAGGGTAACTTCTCAATCAGCTCCTTTGTGGGGAGGAAAAGTATAAGAGCTTGCTGCTTGCTCACTGCTGTGCACGTGGGGTGGAGGAGGGAGAGAGGAAGGGAAGCGGGAGGAAGTGGGAGTTTCTCCAGGGAGAGCCAGCGATTAATTTTCCGTAGCTGGAACAGGTGAAAACATCATTACATTTTGTGTATTTCCAATCAGTTGACTCTTGGACTTAAAAAGTTACTGGAACTACCTGGATGCCTAAGCTTGGGGTACCTATCAAACCTTCAGATAAAGGGGGGCAGAATAGAACAGCAGTCCTACCCCCTGCTGTTCAGGAGGATATTAGGAACCGGGAGCTGATTGCTATACTGTCCTGTGCTTTTTTTTTCCCCGAGTTTTTCTCCAAAACAAAGAGGGCCATTATCTGCTTTGTCATCTCTCCCTACACCTAGCAGAGTGTTTGTTTGTTGGGCATACAGTGAAATTGGTGGGAGGTGAGGTAGGCACACAACAGAACACGTGAAGAAGGGCTTTCTCTGTCTCATTTCTAGTGCCAAGTGCAGGATGGGGTGGGTGAGTGGGAGGTGTAGAGGGCCAGAGGTAATGGGTTTTGGCCTTGTCTCAGATCAAACAAAGGATCAATGGGTAAGACTCAGTTTCTGTACCAATACCAAAGCTCTCACATCTGTTTTGCTTCTGGTAAAAGTGACAAAACCCCCATTTCACCAGGAGGCCGGCCGTAGTGATTTAAAAGAAAGATCTTCCCTTTTTACAGCCCCTGCCCAGGCCCTTGAGACCCATCCCTTGCTGGAGCAGAAGGTCTTGGAAATTTTGGAGAGCTAGGATTGTGTAAGCCATTTTGTACGCAGAGCTGAATATATGATTAAACATTTTGCTGCTCCCCGGTGCAGAAAAAGCAGAGGCTGTCGATGCCATCAACTGTTCGAGAAACGCACACCCCAGGGAGGAGTTACTCAGTCCTGTTTTCTCTGTATAGAAGATTGCAGGAAATGCCTCTTAGCTCCTACGTTTTTCCTCCAGATTCTACAAAGCTGCTTCTGGGGTGTGGC